TATTTTTGATACTTAGGTTGTTCACACTTGCTTGGTTATCAGGTTATCTGGTTAAAAATTATTATTCTGTAGTGTATTTTATTGTTGTAAACTGAATAAAAAATATAACCACATAACCAGATAACCCGATAACCAAGCAAGTGTGAACAACCTAACTTTTATTTAAACGCATAAAATGTCTGAATTTGTTGTTTTATACATCAAAATGTTTGATATGAATTGAATTAATATCAAAACAATATACAATGCTTATAACTGTTTTTATACGATACGTTAATTAATTTATTTAAACGCTCGCATTTATTTTATGTAAACTTCAAGTATTGCATGAATGGATAACCAACTGTAGCACAGTAAACCATATTATTTGGTATTTTAATTTATACCTACTGTTAATCTGCAAAACCTGTAAATTTAATAAAATCTCGTTTTATTGATAAAAAATGTTTTGGTAGTTTGCAAACTGATTTGGTAGGCTTTTTGGTACCTTAAAATATCTCAAGTGGCAACGCTGGCCGCAAGGAACAGCTCAGCGGCAATTTGGCGACAATAGCGAGGGGATAGCTGCACTGAGCCAAAAGCACAATGGTTTTTTCAACCAAGTTATGGCTTGATTTTTTCATGGTTAATAAGCCGATTGTAAGAAATGTGATTCAAGTTGGACATTTGAGAACAAATTCATATGTATGGCAGTGGCTGAACGAGCAGAGGTGGTTGCTGTTATTTGTTGGCTTCCAGCGGGTTCGAGAGTACGAATGCCGTCAGCGCGGCACATAATTTTTATACATTTTTTTTTTTGTTTTTCAAGTTGAACATTTGAAGGTAGATTTATAAAGCGGCTGTAGCTGAGAGTTCAGAGATGCTTGCTGTTATTCGCTAACCCAGCAAACACAGTCTCTAACGTTAGAGAAATTTGAATTTCCACATGATAACTAGGGTACTTCTCTAATCGGTCTCGAGTTGATGACGAAGTTAGATAACTACATTATAATTCGATTCGAGAACGATAAGAGAAACAACGCAAATTCAAATAAATGTAAATAAGCAATATTCCAACTGAATGAATAATAAATTATCTTTAAGTTCAAATAATTCATTATTATTTTAATGCAAATACAGTTAATACAAATATTACAAACAAAGCAAAATCGCATTTTGAAATTCACATTCGAATCGAATCCCATTAGAGATCAACAAACGAATTCGATTAGAGAATTAATATTTTCTCGAGTCGAGAACTACATATGTCCCATTTTTGTTGAGATCGCTATGATTCTCGATAGTTTTTCGAGTCGTTCTCTAACGTTTGAGATTGGAGAATGTGGCTAGTTCTCCAATCATTCTCTTATCGGCAACTAACCTCAATGTTTGCTGGGAACATTCAGAAGATGCGGTTTCAAATATCTGCAAAGGCAACTTGTTAAAATGATAATAAAAATGTTTGTTTTGTGTCTCCGAATTATGAAAAAGCATATGTGAAGTGCAGAACATAAGCCCATTAAAACGAAAAAAATCGACAATAAAAAGTTTGGTTAATGTAAACTAAAGTGTGGTTAATATTACCAAATCATTGTTGAAAACATCAACCAAGGTATTGTTAATATTAACCAAAAATCATATTGATTCCTTTTCAAGTTTGAATTTGGTAATATATATATATATATATATATATTACGTAATATATTACGCAACATTTATTTCTTTAAGTCAAATTTATTTTTCTACGCAATCTCTTAATTAGTATGTCATTAAGTCCATCTCTTTTCTAAGCGCACTTAAACTGTTGCCAGTCAGATGTACATATTTTTCGCCATAAATGAAATAATGACATCTTATTTGTGAAAATTGTCGTGTTTTTGTTCTTGGTTAATGATACATTCTCCCAGATAGAGAATGTTTTTCCCAGCATTGACGTCCCGATTCCAGCATGTACGGCAGTTTGGACAAAACTGGTACCTGTGTGGCGATTTGGACGTCAGGTTTACGTTGTAACATTTTGCGCAAAGTTTGGTTGTTCTGAATTCATTAACCATCAGAATATCTGCTTGCCGTTGTTTTAGTGCTGCGATTAATAACCGATTTGTACGCCTATATCCGCGCATTTGTGAGTTTGAAGCAAACTCTGTTGATCCGATGCAGATTAACGTTTTCTCTTCTTTGTTTGGTACCAGTTGTTGCGCAATTTTGTTGCAGGCTTTTTGTCGGCAAATGTATTTGTTCAGCTTCAGCCGAGCCACCTTTCTTTGCGAGAATATTTTTTGTTTTTGCTCCAGAATTTCAAGCTCAAATTTACAATAGTGGTATTCATCTAAACCGATAACTTTATCAAGCAGATAATCTTATAAGTTTATGCACTCTGTTACATGAACGACCCACACTCTCTTTTCGCTTACACATGCGACAATAGGCGTGTTTTCTTTGGTTATAAAGCGCAGTGTCACTAACTTTATACTACTAGCACGGGGATAAAGAAATTATAGAAACTACCTCACTAAATTGGAAAAAATTATATTTACGAGATATCTATTTAAATAAATGTACATATAACATAAAGGCTATTTATTTGAAGCAAGTTAAAAGAAACAATGGCAGAATGTCTGTTTGTGTATGAATTCATTTGTCACGGCTACCAAACTTTGCGAATTATCAGTGAAACAAAACAAACAGACGGGATAATAATTGAACCAGATCTCTATCAGGATCATATCGTTGTTGAATTTGCGTGCAAAATTTGTATTCGGATCCCGATTATTGCCTAAGAAAACATAGCTAGAGTTGCGACAGAGTTGCATTGTCTTCAGTTTATCAAGTTTATTCAGTGAAATCGCTGGATAAATTTATCAGAAATGTGTAAACGAGTTTCCATACAAATTTTGACAGTTCATTTATAAGGTTTACACAATTATAAGTTTATACGGTTTACAATGCATTTATAAGGTTTGATGAATACCCTTAATATTCTTAAAAATTTGACGAATTCGCAGACAATTCTGATTTTGTGGTGAAATCTTTCGTGTGTTTATGTAGTTTTATTTTGCGAGAATAGAAACCAGAAAGGTGTTGATAGAACGAATTTTTGATTTTCACAGGAACATTGTTCTGGATGCCAGCTAAAATGAGCCGACACCCAGGATCTAGCCCAATCTTGTTGTCGTATTTTGTTCCGCGTATTTTTATTAGATTACCTTCACAATCGGTTTCATTTGGTTTCAGTTTTCTTTTTTTGCCTTTGGTTTCATTTTGTATTTTCTTTTCCATCGAAAAAGATACCGACACTCCATCGGTTACAAGTGAAGAAAACGTTTTAGTGCACGTTGAAGGAATTTTAAAATATTTTCCAAATTCACTTTTATCGAAGGAAGGAAATGGTCCTTTGAATAATTTTAATCGACACAATAGTTGATGGAACGCAAATCGATCGTATCTGACGTGATGTAAACCGTGTTTTAGTTGTGGTATTAGTGAAAATTTTTTTATTTTATTTATCTCATTATACCGTTGCAGGTTATAAAAGAATTCGATGGAAGACCAAAATAGTTTAACATTCTCTATTACGAATGAAATTGAATAGTGTGAAATGTGTATGTGCAAGTAAAATTACAGGTGGTCGAACATCAAAAATCAAAGTAAAGCTACATATATCATGTCCAAGAGTCGGTAGTTTGCACCTTTTCCAAATTTTTAGAACTTACATTGCACCGTAGCAGTAGTCGTCTTAAGTTTGAAAAACTGACAGCCGATTTCTCAGTGGATGTTTAATTATAATCAAAAGATTATCTCTTATTGTCATCTTCTCAGTGTACTTAATATATGATTAACTCACCACCACCTTTCATAAGATTTATTAATGGCGAAACCAGCTTTTCCTGTAAATCCTGTGTGATTGCAAATAGGGTTGGGTTGAATCCAAATAGTTTGTTATTTTGCGAAATCCTAGGAAACGAAACAATTGCAAGCTGGCATCTTTTTAATAATGGTTTAAATTTAATTAATGCCCTCAATCTGCTCACAAGTATGAGTTGTCAAAAACCATTGTTTTGAACCTGTAAACCTCAAGTAAATGTCAATCACACCAATTTACAAAAGTATTTATTAAATGTAAAAATCAGTACAAACTCAAAAAATCAGTTGATTTTGCGTACTGATTTCGGGCTCTTAAAAATCAGTACAATAGAAAAAAATCAGCACATGTACTGATTAAATCAGCGCATCTGGCCACCCTAATGTACATACATATGTAACAAACACGAAATATAACTTTTAGCTTAATACTACTACTAATAATAACTTATAATATAAAGCACTCACTAAATTTTATATATACTCCTGTCACGTACGCAAAGCAGAACGAGAGAAAGAACGAGGAGTCGTGT